GATTTTTGTGGACTGCTTTTTACTTCTTGAGGGTAAGCCCAAGATAAAAGACGAAGTACCTAGTCCATCTAGCGAATGATTACTTTCACATTTTCTCGACGTTTTATGATCACAAGAGTACGAAACAATAGATCTCCCGTTTCCATCTGTCTGTATGTCTGTATGTGGTCTGTTCTTCGTGTGTATCGATTTTTATTAAATAGATATTCTCTGAAACTATCGGACCGACTGTTGTCAAATTTTGAAAGTGATTAGATTATCGTGTAAGTTAATCCCCGGCTAATTCCAATTCTTTTTTACTTGATGGGCGTAAGCTAAAGAAGTATTTTAACAGACCCTATCCAATCAATGGCTACTTTCATGTCGTACTTAAGGTACGAGAAAGTAGATCTCGCGTTTCCGTCTGTCTGTCATCTGCCGGTCATCCATCTGGAGGAATATCGTGTAGATAGTACAGCACTAACCAAAATTTGTCTATTCATCAATGGGATAACGTCATCTCCAACACTTACAATGGTAAATGTTATTAAAATTTTAAAAATAAGATACTCTTACACTTGTGGTTTATGAATCCGTGTTAACATTTTACCCTACACATCCAGATATTTGGAAAAAAAATGTATAAAATTTTACAAATTATGTTCTGAATTCTTGCAAAAAAACTTAATACACTTCAAGTCAGGTTCGGTCAAGCCAGGTCAGGCCAGGTCAGGTCAGGTAGGTCAAGCTAAGTCAAGTTGTAAGATTACAGTGAGCATGGTAGATCGTTATTCACAATTTATTTATTTATGACCTCTCCAAGAATTGATGACGTCGTCTCACAATTTTGCTTAATAAATTTTCAGTAAATTTTATAAAAGTGTATGTGTGATTTATGAATCCGTGTTGACTTTTTAGGCATCCAGATTTTTGGTAAAAAAATCAACATTTCACAATTTAATTTTGACATTGCAAAACCGAATATTGTGAAATCTTGCAGACATTTTAAGGTTGTCGGAAACATGGTAAATCGTTAATCAAAATTTGTCTGTTTATAATCCGCCAAAAAATGATGACGTTATGTTACAATTTTGCAGTAGTATTCTTCAGATTTATGATTGTTTACGCTAATATCCAGTTTTTGAGAAAAAAAAACCGAGTGTGAATTAATTAATTAATTAGACTTCTCATCTGTGTTGAAGATACATAATCAGTCAAATTTCATTTTCTTTTAACACAAATGTCGCCATTGATGCTTGTTATCTGAAGGTGCTAATAGTCGAATTCTTGCGAAGTATAGACATAAACAGTATAAGTTAGGCATGTACTGAGAAATTGAGAATACATTTTTTCTTGTTGGTTATCTGCTTTAAATATATTTCATTTTTTTTTGTTTATAAATTTTATTTTTTTTTAACAACTGAAAATGAAACAAATATTTATGTAATCGGACTCATCGCAATTTAATGGTCATTAAAATCCGTCAAAAAATATATGTTACAATTTAAAAAATATAGGTTATATGCATCACATTTATAATGTACAAAATTAAGCTTTCTCCTTTAAACTAAAAATATTGGCGTTTACAGAATTTCATTATCAAATTCTATAGCCGCAGAGTTTTGACTGGGACATCTGTATATTAAAAAAAAAACTGGTATTTTCTGGCTGACCTTAAATGAACAAATAAAGTACAACGAAATGTATCCAGCATTTTCGAAAAACTATAAAATTTGATGTTGCGAATTTTATTTTTTTATGAGAGCCCCTATAAATTGAAGTAAACGTATATATGTAATGTTATAGTAAATGTAAAGAAGCGTGCTACGCGTATGTTTCAAATGAGTTTTTACTTGACAAAAATTTTTGATGACGTCATCAATAAATAGATATTATTGTGGTTAACAACTTACCATGATTAAAGTAACTTTAAACCGTCTGCAAGATTTCAAAGCATTCGGTTTTACAGTTCCTGATTTGTTCAATAAAATAAATTAACTCATACATTTTTTTTTGTCACCCTCTATAAGCAAATCTAAAAATGTGATTGGAATGATAAATCACAAGTATAAACTCATCATATTTTGCACATTTCAGATGGGATTTATTCGGCAAAATTTTGAGGTGACGTCATCAATTTTGAGGGGGAGGAGGGACGAGCAAATACATTTTGATCAAAAATTTACAATACTTATGACAACTTTAAAACATCTCCAAGATTTCAAAGCATTCGATTTTGCAGATTCAAAATTAAATTGCAAAATGTTGTTATATAATTTCGATTTGTTTCCCAAACATCTGGACGTTTCAGGTAAAAACTCAACACGTATTCATAATCTACACGTGCAGAACTGTTATTTTATCGAATTTAAAACCCATTTACTATGTGCAATTTTGAGCTGATGTCATCACATTATTGGTGGGGATGATTAGACATGGTTTGGATACCGTCTACATAATACACATAAAATTTTGCAACCATCCAGTAGTGTCTAACAAAAATCGTCACGGAAGGCGGACAAACAGACAGACAGACAGACGGAACGGGAGACCCACTTTTTCGTCTCTAGGGATCATGACCCATTGAAAAAATATTCAACCAACCAGCCGCCCGATGAACTCGACGGTACTTTCTTAGGTTAAGCTTGGGAAGTAATATTAAACGGATTATAATGAGAAGAGAAATCCATTTTGAATTTAAATATTCTAAAAAAAAGCGTCATCGATTTTTTGAAGGAATTATTAAATTTATAGGCCGTTTTTGAATTTAAATATTCTAAAAAAAAGCGTCATCAATTTTTTGAAGGAATTATTAAATTTATAGGCCGTTTTTGTGGTATGTAGTAAAATTGTTCGTTATATATTTTTTACCTTCAAAAAGCGTATTAAATCACAAGGGAAATTATATTTAAAAAAATGATTTGGAATAATATTTGAAACATAATTTCTTGAAATAACTTCATTAACTTTTTGACAGAATATGTCGTTTCACAGGAATTAAATGAGTGGTTTTTAACTATAATCTTAAAGTATACCTAAATTTTCAAAGTACTCCGTTAGATAATATAATAATATAATAAATGAAAAAATAATACAAACAATTTTTTTTAGTATTTAATAATAATTTATAGCAGATATAATATGTGAAACGCTATTAAATATCAAACCTTTGATTTTCGAATAATCAATAAAAAAAGTTAATAGTAATATATTTTGATGTCACGTCCTTATGAAATCATGCTTCAAAAAAATCCGGAACGGCAGACAGACGGACAGACAAAACGACAGACAGACAGACGGAAACGGGAGACCTATTTCTTCGTACTATAGAGGTCATGAAAGGTCGAGGAAACGTAAAACTAGAGAGTTGGTCGACGGACTCGATTACAATACTTCCTTCGCTTACGCTCGGGAAGTAAAAATGTCGAAAATATTAAAATAACTATTCGATGTGATGTAGAATGGACAATGATCTTGATGCAAACAAGTTTAAGATAAAATGTTTTAAAATTTTCATGTGACTATTGGCTCTTTTTAAAAAAGTCGCTTAGCATCGTACAGAAAAAAGTACCCACTTTCATTTTTCAAAAAAAAGTAATATTGTATTTAAAGATAGAAAGTTGGAGAGGGTGACACTGCAAAAGTACTCACCATAACATTTTACATTCTTTTTATTTCATTTTATCACTCAACTTGTCATTAAAAATAAGTTTTATTACTCGTTGAATAAGGAAGCTATATTTTTTTATCATAGCTCGATTAAAAAAACAACTTAAATTCTGCCAAATTGTTAACTGAATGTCCTATTTTCTGGATTAGATGTTTTTAAATTGAAATTGAATAGTGATTCCAAATTTCAAAAACCGTTAAACCTATTTTACTTTATGTATCGTGATACATCGTATTTTGATATTCAGAACTTTTGGTTATATGAAAATTCTATAGCAAGTAGTTCGATAGTTTCGAAAATTATCTTTCTAGTAAGTTTGTAAGGAACACCAGACCGACAATGATAAAGAGATGGAAATAGAATTCTAATTCTAATTTTATATTCTATGAGCTCTGGAATATGCAAGTAGGTATTCTTTCAAATGTCCCTCAACTATCGCTCTTTACGCCTTCACCAAAAGAGATAGTTGCCAGAATACATCACAAATAAATTAAATTCGTATACTATGGATGAAATGAATATTTATTACAAGTTACATCCACCACACACAAAACCACAACAAACACATCAATTTTATCTATACAGAGAATAATATTAATAGTGATAGATTGTCGATTTGGAAACGTGCTTTTGACCTACGTACTAAAATAACCAAGAAACACGATAACAATAAAAAAACAAAAAATAACAGGCCATCAGTTTCCTGTAAAAGATTATGTCACACTGATTGCAACGAGTAGATCCTTAAAATGGTGTGATAAAGATTCACATTAAACCGAATAAAAAGAAAACAGCAGCTTTAGCTCAAAATTAGATTAGATTAGATTAGGACAAATACATTTTTGTTACATAATATTTTATTGCACAGGCTCCTTATCACATTTATTATGTCTTCACAATTTTTTGGCACGAATAGCAGAACGATCTCTGATTATACGTAACATCAATAATATAACCACTTTCAGAAGAAATTTAATAAAAAGTTATTTATCATTTTCCTGAAAAAAACTTCCTAGAATTTTATAATTTTAAGATAACTACCTACTAGTGTCACCTTTATTTCCACTGGCGTGGTACTTGAATTTAGCTAGCGCATCATGAATGACTTATTTATAAACCTAGAAAATAAAAATTTTGCTTCATTTAGGCCCCCCTACTCTAGGTGTACGCTTTCGAACTACTCACTATACAAACCCGAGTTCATGGTCTGAGGAGCGTCTGCTACATAAACTTTTACAACTAACACATCAACACATATCGCACTTGCAAGACTAATTTATGGATAATTTGTAACGAAAAACAAATTCTTGTCGGAAGCGGAATCCTTTGCATAAATAATTTTTGGTTTCAGATTAAACAACATGTCAACGATCGAACGAAAAGAATACCAAGAAACAAAAATAATGCGAACCGTGTCGCCAGTTCGCAACATCCGCAGTTCCAATCAAAACTTGGCAGAGTTTGATCACAATTTAGACTACTTGCTAGAGGACCTTCAAAATTCGGTCTCCCGTCCAGGCAGCTCTCTAGGAACATACCGCGAAAACCCAAAATCCATAGAAACTACAAAAACCAACTCGCTTAATCGCTTCGCTAACGTAAAATCTTCTAATCCTGTAACCGAATACTCATCCGATGATACTTACAGCTACACGGTATGTGATCAAAAATTCTTCAAATCTTTCGCCGAACTAAATTACCGAAATAAAAAATTTTAGTCGCCTGATGGCAAGAAGCACGTCACCGGGTACAAAAAGGAAACCTATTCTTATAAAAGCAGCGGCAGTGGTCCACCTGAAAATGTGCGGATGCAAAACAACATCAACCAGTTGGATTCGCTCTTGGACGACTTGCAACAAGTGAAGAATGCGCCGTTCCCGGAAAAAGGTGAGTCGTGTTCACACCTACGTGACTAATAATCATTGTTCCGAAAAATATTGTTAAAGACTTTAATTTCGTACTGACTCACGGGATATTTATAAAAGCGTTTGTTTTCCAGATTCTTATAATAACACTGGCGCTGATCCAGAATTTCAGTAAGTAGATTGTTGATTTAATTTCATTCGGTACTCCGAAATTTATTTTGATTCGCAGAAGAAACACCACGACCTCTTCGAAAAGGTCGGTGCAACGGGAATTACACTATGGCGATACTCCAAGATCGAGCTCCAGAAGTCGGACTTTGGAAAGGGCGGAGAAGGAAGGGTCGATCACTAGGGAGATCCAGTACACAAATGAAGGTTTCTACTAAGATGTTTTGGTCTTTTCAATGCTGAGTGTTTTCTGTGTAGGGACTTATGGAGACTTGCGACAAGTTAGAGGAAGATCGCCTTCCCCTTCGTCCAAAACTTCTACTCTGACTAAACAGAAAAAAGTCACCAACATGCATACTTATCCCATGGAAGTGGTGGAAACCACGAGTCCTGATATTAATCCAGAAATTTTGGCCCACCTTGACCCCAGCCTTCACCCTCCTGGCAATACTAAAGTAACCACTACCATTAAAACTTACACTTACGAAATTCCCGGAACAGGGAACTACCCCACGAATCTCGAGACTCCAGCGGATACGGATAAATATGTCTATTCTCCGAATCAGACCCAAACTACCCCCAGTAAAAGTTTCGTTTACAAGAAAGTTGAAAACAAGTCTTCCGAAAACACTTTCAATTATCCGTCGTATCAAAAACCAACACCACCAGGTTTTACTGAAACCGTAACCACTAGAACGTATCAGCCAGGTTATACACCCGACGTACCACCAAACCAAAGTTACGTATACAACGAAACTACCACCACTCGACAGGTCGATGAAAATACTCAAAGAGGTAGTCTTCCCCGCAATCAGAATCTTCCACCAAAAGCTTACATCATTGAAGAACATCACAATACTGTAACTAATAAAAATGTCAACCGTCCATATCCTGATGACCGAGACTATCCTCGGGGAAATCCTCCGCGCCAGGACACTTACATTATTAAAGAAATCCATGACACAAACACAACCAATATTAACCGCCCATACCCCGACAGAGATTATCCTCCTCCTACCCAACACTATGTGAAAGAAATCCATGACACAAATACCACTACGAACGTCCACCATCCTTATCCTAACGGATACCCTCCAAATGAACCCAATAGAACCATCATCTACAAACATGAGACCCGTACTACCAATAACTATGGACCTGGCAATAGACCTGGACCTGGACCCAACGATGTTGAGAATTTCGATCCCAATCATCCGCCGTATCCACATGATAATCGACGACCAAACGAACCACTCAATATCCAGTACAGGTACAAGTCGGAGAGTACCACGACTAATAATTATAAGGCTGGCTACCCACCGAGTGACGAAACCCAAGCGTTGTTGCCCAAACCCTTCCCAACTGAAAACCAACCGGATGGACCTCCGAAAAGACTGGACCAGCTTTTGGCTGATATTGGTAATGAGGTACGTATCTATACGTTAAACGAAAAATTTTGTCTCACATCAAAGTACTACAGTTTGACGAGTTCTTGTTTCAACAAAGCGGCAAAAGTCAACGCCTACTTTAATCTAACGGTCTTCGATTGTTTGTGGTTAAGCAGAAAGCGTTTTTTTTTTATTTTTTATTAATTTTAATAACATAAAAACAGACGAGACGTGTTGATTTTGCATGTCACGTTTTGTGGTTAAGCAAAATTTTCTACCTTCATGTCATCCAGCCATTTGCAATGAATATTTATTTCGAATAATAAAACAATACAGACATGAGAACCTCATCCGCATGACCAAAAATATGTGGAACGCCATGAAACATTCATCTAGCCGGTAACGGTCTGGACGTGATAGTAGCAGTATATAATGAATAAAATTAAAACGACTAAAAAAGTTAGATTTGATACAGTCATTGATGTAGGGAAGAAATAGAAGAGTGTCAGTTACAGTGCACATGGACTTGTATCAAATAACTATTCTGTTTAGTAAAAACGGAGTTGAAGAATTTTACTGCACTATGAAAACGATATTGAAGAAACGATAGACATTTTCAACAAAATTTAGAACAACTAAGAAAATTTGGCGGTGGTTCTACAATATTCCGACTTTAAGAAAAGGTTGAAAGTAGAAGCTTCATTAGATTTCTAAAATATTCAGGAATTAAAGCTAACCTTCTAGAAGAATTTCTCTTTCGAAGGAATAGAGCTAGAAAAAATTGAACTGCATTGATATAAGAGTTCTAAATGGGAGTCAATGAAAATCTATGAAAATTATAAGATTCCAGACAAAGACGTTAATCCTGATCAATTATAATGGATACAAATATTTTTAAAAATATTCTAATAGAATAGTTCAAAATCGCTAGTGGAGAATTTTAAACTAAAATAGAAAAGACAAGGAGATTTGTTTTTTTCAGTAGAAAAAACCCAACAAGTTTTTGAATATTTCATTACAAAATATAATACCCTAAACGGAATTAACGGACACCGTCAAAGAAAAGTACCTGCACTAACTTGTAAACTAATAATAAGATATGTAACGTCTTTGTTTAAATTTCGACAAGGCGGCAAAAGTCAGTTTTGCATTTTTTTGTCTTAATATTCATAATCTTCCCTTCACAACAAAAAACTGAAACATGTTTAAAATGTTAAATTTCATCCCCACACTTCTCTACAAATTTACCCTTTTAAACATGTTTTCAATTTATTGTCGTGAAAAGAAAACTATATAGGACACATATTAGAAAAAAGAAAGCATAATACAAATCCCGCCCACCGCCCCTTTCTCAATTGTGATAACTGTTTTTCTTTATTGTGAGCCGAGAGGCAGAGCTTAATTGCAAAATCCTTATTTCCCTACAAGAAACTACCATGTGAAACATGTTTTTAGGTATCATGGTGTGATAACCCAAACATCCCGCCTTAAATTGACATGTGAAAAAGATTTGAAAAGCCTCCGAAAATTTCAAAAATTAAAAAATTTGGCCTTAGCTGTAATCGTTTAACAAAAAGAAAACCTAAATTGTATTTGTTTGTTTTTTTTGTGGCGGAATGAGTTCAGATGGAAGTGGTGGACCCCAATGTTAGAAAAGTACCGCTAAATAAAACACAAAATATATGGAGGACACAAAATCACGTATTCCTCCACTGACAAAAAAAAAGAAAGAAAAAAAAGCTGCGACTAAGTTGTGCCGGTTGAAAACACTTCTTACTGATCAGCTTCAAAACAAAACTTGCCTAACTTTGAATGGAATCAAATCAAACTTTCTGAATCAATCCAAATATATGCAGTGGGGCGCACAGCGACAGCGGCATCAGAGCGCTATAAGAATGTGGCGATCGAACTATATCAATTTTATTCTAGAACACATCAAAAATACTCGGGGGGGGGGGGGGCGGTGTAGCACGAGCCGAATTTGGGGCTCCTGGTCCTGGCTGTTCTCCCCTCACGGCGATGATTATATTCTATCGGCAAGCATGCCGCCCAGCACCCCTTTATCAAAAAGAAACGTGCCGCGCGATAAGGCCGTTACGGTCGCAAACTCGTGGTTGAAAATCACCGCTATAGATAAGTTGACGGCGTCACGTCATCCCGACCGCTCCCCTGACTTCTATTCAAGGCCTGCATCCTTTTGTGCAGATGGCGCGACAGCCAGCTCGACAAGGATCCGCGCACTCCGCTTCCGCCACGTGTATTTGTGTTATTTATTTACATGTTCAACTTCTACATATAACTAATATTAAACTACAACTAAACAAGTGTCAAAGTTTCAAAAAGAGCAATAAACAAAACTTCAATTCACCATACATTCTCGAGAAATTTGAAACACTAAAGAATTCTTATCTGAGATTAAAATTGGATGTCAGGCAATCTATATGATGGAAGCATTAATCAACAAAATATTTACATGCTAAAAAAAAACTAGCAAAGATTTATACAACCAAAAAAATCTGGTGTAAAATAAAACTGTGCAGACAAAAATATTACGTGAGGTTGGGAACTGCAGAGAAAATTTTCGTTCAATTTAAATTGTACAGCAAAGAAAATTACTCACGCTAAAATTGTGAGATAGAGAAAAATTGCATGAGGTGAAAAATTGCAAAACTAAAAAATTTAAAAAATGCATCCAGCGTCGCGAGAATGTTTCTCGGTGGTGTAATTTCCAACGTCGCGAGAAAATATGTCTCGGTGATGTCATGATGATAACGACGATAATAAGTGCCCAAGAGGAAAAACTTCTAGTCCCCCTGTACCTCAGTGCATTATATTATGAATTCTGTCGTACTTTTCCCAGAGTGGGACAGAATTAGCTGCCATAAATGAACTATTAACAATCTTGTGTGAAGAATTAGGAAGTTATGTAATGTAACACTTAAGTATAAACATCCAGAAACCTTATTCATAACTTGATAAACAAAGGATGAATCCTAACCAAGTGAATTTCATGAAATGTCTTACCAAGTGTTTTATCTGAACAATCCCTGACGGTTAAACTTGTGTTAGAACCAGTAACGATTAAAATCGTAACATGAACTGTGAATTTACAAACAATACATCAAATTTACACCACGTGTTGGCGTTGGTCGAAAATTCGCATATGGCGTCGTTGTCTTTACGATTAATTTTCGTTAAACAAAGGCTCTCCCTTTTTTATTAACTACCAAACCCACTAAACTTTATCTAGCTACCTTACCGCGTCCTTCACTTACAGCAAACAAAACAACAATAACGTGCCACCTACCCTCTACCAAACAATTGAACTTCATTACCAACCCTCTCACTAGATACTACCCACAACTTTCCCTAGGAGAGCTACCAACTACCCAAAAAGAATTAAACGTGCACATGGTTGCCTGTGTTTAACGATTTTCTTGATTGAATTTTTTTCAAATTCAAATTATTTAAATGCGATTTCGCGCCGCTGTTTTTTTTTTCAGCATGAATTTTTAATTCAAATCTGGTCACCACAATGGTGTTGAAACAAAGCTGTATACGTCAAGAAAAAAAAAGTCAAAAATTAAGCCCCGCCCACCCACCCTCGTCTCAAATGTGATGAATTTTTCATTCGTTGTCAGACCGAGGGGCAGAGCTTAATTGTAAAATCGATGTTTCCCGCCAAAATAAAAATTTACCATTTTAATAAACGTTTTAAATATCTTGTCGTGAAAACATCATCATCGCATATATCTAGTCCGGGGGCGAAATTTAAAAAAAAATCAATATTTCTCTACAAGAACTTATCGTCTAAAACATGTTTCTAAGTATGGGGTTGAAAGAAACCTGTATAGATTTAGAAAAAAAAGCAAGAGATTTTTACTATACCTACCTATAATACATATTTATTAGTGTTAATATCATTTCCATTTCAAAATGTGAATTTTCATCGTATTTGAGTCTTTTTTATAAGAATTAACATTCAGATGTTGGAAAAACCTAAATATAACTTCCTCGGTTCCATAAACGTAATCAATTAATTTGTTTTAGCCCCCCAACAGTCCATACAATGCTAGTTTTAACGCACACGAACACGAAATGGAACAGAAGAAAAAAATCGAGACTCTAAAACGTCAGCAGGAAGAGGTTGAAGACGCGCAGAAAAAAGAACCTGTGCTGAAGAGCAAAAATGTGTCGGGTCCTCCAGTTTACTACCCACCTGGACATGAACTGTTTGCCCAAAAAGAAGAAAGTGGCGCCTGGAGAGCAGAAGTAAGTTTTGATTAAAATCTGTTACAACACATTTTATTATGTTGTGTTGTAGGGCGGCTATCAGAGAGCATCCGGAAAATATAAATACGAAGCAGAGAGTAAAAGCAAATCAAAAAGCAGTTCAGGTGCGGCGGTGGTGCCGGTGTGTTTACCTTTATGTTGTGGCTTGCCATGTACCATTCTTTAGAAGAAATTGGCTCAAAATTAAATTATTAACAAAAATTAAAGGTGCCTTAATGTTTGTCATATACCTCATCAACGTATCCGAGGATTTTGTTTAATAATTTATACTGTTGTTTTTGTATTATTTAACATTGTTTATTATTGTACATATTAAATTTTGGTATAAAGAGGTTTAAATCTTGCAATTCCTGTACTAGGATTAATATGATGTATTAAAAACGATAATTCTTTATTCGTTGACTAATTCTTGCCTCACTATTAACAATACTGCATTGATGTAAAGATGTATTTTATTATAAATAAATTTACAAATGTTACTGGATATTTTTACTCCTATCCTGAACTAGACCCAATAATACACAATCAGCCTCCAACAAGGTGACATCTTTCTCGTATCCTAAAAATTTCGACGACAATTCGAGCTGTTTTATGAGTAAACGCACTCTGGTGCCTCTCACATATTCACTGAAACACATTGATTCGGGTAATGCTATAATTGCATAAACAACCCTTACCCAGCATTTTTCTTTGGTCGTGGACAAACACAATGGAATTTCCAACCGAAATCTATATATAGGTCGTCATCCACCACATGAAATATTTTTCCAGTTACGACTTTACCTTCAGGGTCACCTAACTAAATGAAAATTATTCTAGTAAATGAAAGAAACTTAATTATGAACATACGTCAACAAATTTTGAATTACGAAGCAAGGATGCAAAAGTTTGTGGAAGTTCTTTACTTTCTTCTGTCTTTAGGGTCTCAAATTTTTCAAATGCTTGTGCATAACCTCCAAGTTTTGAGTCGGGCGGTTTTTCTCCACTAGCGTCTGAAGACAACGTTCTAACACATTTTAAATTGACAATTTTTGGATTTAATCTAACTAATTTATTTAAAGATCTTAACAAAGCCATCGATTATTTATATTTGTATTTGCACCTAACCTAAAACTTGATTTAAGTTGACAGTTTTAAAAACACGTGAAGTTATGTAACAACCGTACAGGTTATGTACATATGCATCTGCTTTTCGGTAAATATAAAATCATTGAAAATCTCGCACAGTCTCCTATTTTATTGATTTTTCAAATTTTTGTCTTTGAATAAAATTTTGCGCGATTTTTAAACATAATAATTGCTGTAACGACTGATAAAATTTGAATTTTTTCTTAACCATTGGCCTCCCTGAATAAATGTCAAAAAAATTATCCAACTAACTTCACGCGTCAAAACCAGTGAGCCGGTCTCAGTGTTCATATTTTTAGTACCTTGAAATTATTAATTTTTATACACGTGATTCTCACGACTCTCCAGAAATTGAAAAATGCCTTGCCCTGGTATTAAACCTCTTACCGGAAAGTTAGGACTGAAACCCTTGACATGTCAGAACATTTTATTCTACTACGCACCAATTCAAGGGGTTGTAAGTTACACATCTTTATCCATTAACGTCATGAACCCATCATTAATACTAAGGTGACTTCTAAAAAAAAACCATGCGGAGTAGCGTTACAGCTTGAGCAATTTCAGGTTATTTCCTCGTAGAGATATTACAAATATTTTGTTGGTTAACACCCTTGTTGGGTCTGGTTTATATTTGTATAACAGACCACACCTCAGTGCATTAGACAAGAAGGAGCGAATTGTGTACAGGTAATTAACACGTTGTGGCTAATTGTTGATTATTAAGTCATTCAAGATGATTTTAGTACCTTTGGAGCTGTGACTTTTTCCTTGGGTTCTGTGTTAATTTGGGCTATCCTCAGGAGTGTTGTGCCTGAGAATGTACCACTGTGTACAATTTGTGGAATTGGATCAGGTCTTGCAATGATTAAACTAGGGCGTGGATATGTGGATCACGTAGATAGTCTAGTTAAGAAGTAAAGCGAAACATGTACCTTAATACTTGAGCTTACCATATTAATAAACTTGAAGTAGTTGGTACATTTGTAGTTGTTTCTAGTCCCGCTGGACTAACTTTTAAAAAGAAGTCCTCCACTAAAGTGTAAATGTGGTTTTAATGTCAAATGTTACTGGGTGATGTACCATTAACACTTCACTTACTTTAAAACACTGTAAATGTAAGATGATAATGAATTTCTACTTCATTTATTTGTTATCATTTTGTACAAATGTTAAACTGACGCAAGCGAAAATAAACGTGTATGACATTATTTGACATTTTTATTATTATATAATTCAAAATTGGTGATGGCCATACTTAACACGTAATTTCAGCAACTAAAATGAAGAAATTAAAAATACAAACTTGAGTACATAGATGCGAAGATGGCCGAAATTTTAGACACTCCTCCAGAGGGAAGTGATTATATTAATGCTGAAATGGAACATCGACACCTGCTAAAATTCCTTGAATTGTTTTATATTACTGCTACACTTCAGGGAAGAATTGCATATTTTTTAATGTCAATTCATGCAGTGAATCCATCCATTTTAAAAAGGTAAATATTTTGTTGTAGAAACAATAATATTCTGATCGCACCATATCTAGTTTTACAGATTATAATCCTAAAAAGTACTTATTTGCTAACATGGTGTATGGTGTTGGTGTAATGCTTTACTGTAGACCGTCAATGAGGGCTATAAGTAGATTTAATCGGACCGTCTTTAGGTAATATAGGAGTATTTTTAAATTTTTCGCACTAATAGTACAAATGTATAAATATTGATTCTGATTTTAGTATTTTAGGGTCCTTGATGTTTAATCATTCCAGCCTGTTATTCTATGGATGGTTAGTTGAAAATTTTTCTCACCGGCCTTATATCTTAACGTTTTTGGGATTTATTAGTGGGAGAGTTATGATGCTGCATTTACTGGCATACTTGTACCATGTGGATTCCAGATATCGCGGGTTCCATATAAGACCGTACCCAGAATATGAGTCTATGTATCGTCAACATTAATAAACTAAATACAAAATGTATTGGCTTGTATATCTCGTGTTAGGTTAACCATTAATAGGTTACTGCTATCATTTAATTATTTTTTTAAAACGGATTATAGATATGTGGTAAGTTAAGGTTTAAAGCTTCAGTTTTAATTTTCCCGGGGTTAACTCGATTCCACTCGATACAAATCGAAGCTTGGCGAATACACCAGGCACGAGTTTATTGGATCTCAGCACAAATAGAGTTAAAATTGTGTAAGAATAAAAGAATAATTTATTACAAATGAGTTGAATTCACTTGCAATAAATTAACCTTTTTGTCAGTTTGACAAGAATTCAAAGTTCGTATTGTGTATTACTATGCAGTATTATACAGGATTTGCATACATTTTTCGTATATTAATGGTTATCTGTGACATTTGCACATACCTTACAGGATATTGGCCACTTCTTAGTAATGGCGGATATTTTTAAGGTTTTAATTACAAATCAGTGCTCACTTTAGATGTAAGTAGTACCGGGTTTTAAATCAGTCACATAAACGATTTATTGGTAATTAATGGTTGATATTAAATTTTTAATTGAGAGTTAGTCATGAGTTATACAACTTTAGATTTTGTTTATTTAAAATTGTTGTAGCAAATAAAAAATATCTATACATATAATATAACATTTTTATTATTATTTAGTATATATTACTCCTCTTATTGGCGTACGCATCCAAGAAGCAGATAAATACATATAGTGAGTAACTCGAATGAAATATTTTCAGTTGTGAAACAGAAAATCTTTGGTTGTGGTGCCATTTAGTGCCGCCATATTAATTTAAAAGTACCAGATATTATTCTGCTTTGTCTACGTATGAGTTGGGTTCCTCTCACTCATTTGTGCATATTCGGAACTGACCACACCTTAAAACAGTTGTAATAGTAATATGTCTAGTCACCTTAAAAATAAGTAGTAACAAGGACATCTTGCGTTTAGACAGCAATCTAAGTTTTTTGTCTGGAATTTATAATATAATCAAAGTGTCAGACATAACAATGCTTCATGTATTTTTGATCACAATGCAACAATGCAAAAGACTAAGAAATCGAAAGTGATATATTTATTACCAAATTTAAACATTTTTTTGTTTTTCGCAGTACAAAACATAAATCAATAAATATAATAACACATAGTTTGGTTGTTAAAAAATCAATTTAACTTTTAATCCTAAGATCTAGTAGGATAGGAATACCTATGTTAAGAAATTCTTAACTGCGCGATCGTATATATGAAATTTATTACCAAATAAAATGTTTTTAAAGTTTTCAGAAATGAAAATTCTGAATTATATTAAAAAAATGTATGTAGATTACAGTAAACTAATGCTAAGACATTTTGCTATATTAGGTTCTGTCAATACTTTTTTTTTTAACAAGTACCGGACCACTATTCACGATTGTGATTGTTTTGTCAGGTTGGTAACATATTTAAAATTTTACGATGGCATACCTGATTGCCAAAAATGAAAGCACCAAGTCAAGAATTGCCAACACAAAAATTTGCTTCAATCTTTAATAGTCATCAGTGGTCACAAGGTATTTTTACGGCTTTTGCGTATTTTGGCTACTAAATAGATTAATTATATTAAAACACATATGAAACATTTATCAGTTATCGTTATCAGTAACACCAACATCTTTTCAGTTTTAACAAATCCATTACCAAATCTTGAATAAAATCTATTCACGTTTTTAAAAATTTTCTTGACGTTTTTTAACCCTTTGAGTACGAAAAAATAGGTCTTGTGGTGACCAAATTTGAATTAAAAATTTCGCCCTGAAAAAAAATAGCGGCGCGAAATAGCATTTGAATAATTTGAATTTGAAAAAAAAATCAATCAAGAACATCGTTAAATCTAAGCAACCATGTGCACGTTTAGTTCTTTTTGGGTAGTTGGTAGCTCTCCTAGGCGAATTTGTGCGTACTATCTAGTGAGAGGGTTGGTAATGAAATTCACTTGATTGGTAGAGGGTAGGTGGCGCGTCACTGTTGTTTGTTTGGTGTGAGTAAAAGGACGCGGTAAGGGAACTAAGTTAAGTTTAGTTGGTTTGGTAGTTAAAAAAAGGAGGAAGCCTTTGTTTAACGAAAATTAATCGTAACGACAACGACGCCACAGTTTCCCGAACACGCGTAGCTAATTCTTGCGGCTTTTCCAAACGGAAATATGCGAATTTTCAACCGATGCCAACACGTGGTGTAAATTTGTTTTATTGTTTGTAAATTCATGTCAGAATTTTAATCGTTAACTAGTTCTAACACAATTTAACGGTCCTGAGATTGTTCAGATGAAGTACTTTTTAGGAGATTTCATTAGATTCACTTAGTCATCCTTTGTTTATCAAGTTATAAATAAGCTTCCGGGATACTTATACTTAAGTGTTACATAATAACACCTCTTAATTTCTCGCACAAGGTTGCTAATAGTTCATTTACGGCAGTTAAATTAATCTAACGTTGTCCCACTTTGGGAAAAGGACCGTGCAAAGTACGGTAGAACCCACTGGACTTAGGTAAGACGGGATTAAATATTTCCCCTTACAGAGACATTTTTCTTGCAATGTTGGAAATTACACCACCAAGGAGCATTTCTCGCGACGCTGTATGCATTTTGTGTCTATTTTATCATGTTTTTTATTTGGGATAAGCTGGGGACAGTCCACGATATAAACTGCCAAAGCTAATTGTTTTAAGTAAGCAATCACTTGGATACTGACATAATTTAGCATCATGTAAATTCTTTGTTTGAATCGTTGATAAAGTGTGGTATAATTTAGCATCATGTAAGTTCTTTGTTTGAACCGGTGATAAAGTGTGGGAAATATTAAACTCATGTAATTTCATTAGCTTTGCAAATTTTCACCTCATGCATTTTTTCTCTATCTCGCAATTTTAGCCTCAGTAATTCTCTTCGTTGTATAATTTAAATTGAACATAAATTTTCATACTCTGCAGTTCCTAACCTCACGTAACTTTTTATCTGCACAAGTTTTTACTCCACACCAGTTGTACCTTAATATCAGAGTCATATAAATTGAACATTTAAATGGAATTGAGGCAAATAACACAGAAACACGTGGCGGAAGCGGAGTGCGCGGTCCCTTGTCGAGCTGGCGGTCGGGTAATCTGCACAAAAGACGCAAATTTAGAATAGAAGTCAGGGGAGCGGTCGGGATGACGTGACGCTGTTAGCTTACTTATAGCCGTGACTTCCAACCACAAGTTTGCGACCGTAACAGCCTGTTAGCGCGGCACATTTCTTCGTTAAATAGAAGTATGCTGGGCGGCATGTGCTTGCCGATAGGATAGAATAGAATCACCGTCGTGGTGGGAGAACAGCCACAACCAGGAGCCCCAAACTCCGCTCGTGCTACAACGCCATCTATGGATAATTTTGGTGCGCTCTAGAATGAAATAGATATAGTTCGATCGCTACACTCTTATAGCTCTCTGGTGCCGCTGTCGTTGCATACAGTTTTTGTTATAATTTTGTTCTCTTGTTGACTACCATAATTTAAATGTGCCGCCACAATTTGTGTGTTAGGCAAGTTCACTTACGTCTGAACGCATTCCGTCACAAAAAAAAACAGACACTATGTAGGTATCCATTTTGTTAGACGAATTTTGAAATTTTCGCGGGCCTTTCAATTTTATTTTCACGTGTCAATTTAAGGCGGGATGTTTGGGTTATCACAGTCTTTCGTTTCCGTCTGTTGTCTGTATCGGTTTTTATTAGACGGATAATCTCGGAGCTACTACTTAGATTGATTGTTGTAAAATTTTATATACACGCATAGTGGAAATATCATGTAGAAGGTAAAATGCTAACCAAAATTTGTCTACTCATCCCCATTAACAATTTTATGACGTCAGCTCAACATTCTACGTAGTAAAGGATATTCAGATTTTATAAAAGAATGGTTTCAGGATCAGAAAAATAATGTATGTAAAAATTGTTGAAGTCTAAGTTAATTTTATACAAAACTTTATTATTAAATTCGAAGTACATATTTACACACGTGACATTATTGCATTCACGTTATTAAAGATAAGATCTGGTTAGAGTAAAGTTAAAGAATATAATGAAAAACAGTATTTTGCCATTGTTTGGGCCACATATCACTATTGCTACCAATTTAAAAAATATGTAGCTATCTGTTTTGTAAGTACTGTTTTTCAAACTGGAGTCCATTCAACGATACTACATATCTCGCACTTTAAAATATACACATAATTCTAACACTTCAAACACAGTCACAAGAATTTGATTCATAATTTCAGGTACACACAAAAAAAGGAAAAAATATGCGAATTGGAAATATTCATGAACGTAAACGTTATCTAGTGTACAAAATTATGTATCAAAAATTATATAAATAAATATAAATTAGCTTTAAATCAATGGATGTGTTCGTGGTGATGATGGGTGGTAACTTCGAAGTGTTCCGCATGTTCGTGATCATGAGAATGAGCACCTCCGTGGCTGTGCTCATGTCCAGCTGAAAAATAATAATAAGTTAGAAATCTGATTATTTAGTTGTACACTAACACTTCTCAAATAACCCAGCCAAATATACTTTAGTAAGAATAACGGGACATGCAACATAGTATTTAGCGTATGGTACGTGTCATAAATTAAAGATATAAAAGTTTATTTTGTAGCGGTATCTCCTCAGGCAAAATGATGCAATCTGCATAATGCATGTCATTGTAACCGGCGCCCCCACCATTTTTCAACAAAACTGAAACCAATTTTATAAGTCGAAACCCGCATCTATATTACTGTGTTGTTTCTATTTTCTCACTTTTCCTCATAATCTTACAGGAAGTGACTTCCATGTGTAGTTATTTGCATTCTTATGTTCAAGGACATGCGGGGCTGTACGGGAGAGTGAAGTATAATTCGATGTAATTATTGGTCACGGTTTGTGAAAATGACACTTTAGTTTCCTTAATTAATGTATTAGATATAAAATTACGTAAAAGTTGATTGTAATTTGTTGATCTTTATACACGGAGAACAAAGCAGGGAGAGGTGAAAACGAAGGTCGACCGAGTCTCCCTAACTAGGAAAAGTTGGTTCATATTTGGCTGCGTTCAGCAAATCGGAGCAAGATGGCTTCTCATAACCATAGTGGTTTTTGTTTAAGTGGAAGATTTTGCATACAATGAATTATCTCCTTTACATTTTTTAAATGTGCATTAAAATAACATGCAACATTTTCTCGTTACATTAAGAATTTTTTTTTATGTAAATGTGTGGTTTTATGCTGTCGGCTGGTTTTTAGATTTCTACTTAAAAACTTACGTAACTGAAAAACACCTTGTGCTTTACTAGGAATTAAAATACGTTATAATAATAATATTTTATGCGTTCTTTACGAAGTTGGGTCAGATTAGAAAACCAAATGTCATAATAATCATAGCATAAGCTAGTTTCCGTGTTCACTGTATCTAAGTTGAAAACTGGTTTGATTTCCCATAATGATTTTTTTAGGAATTCTGGTTTTTATTTTGAGCACATAACGTCTATAGGGGGATCTGACAAGATGGACCAATTAGCAGTTAAACAACCGTGAAAAATATATAAAACCATTTTTTCGGAATTTTTTTCGATGTCCCGGTATACGATAACACTAACGTTTAGCACAGGTCAGGTCAGGTCGGGTCAAACATTACAAAAATTTTCGACGCGTTTCACCAAACACGTTGGCATTATCTAGACAATGCTAACTGACTTTTTTGTTAATTTTGTAAACTTTACAGAGAATAGTGCATCTGGATTTTCTAAAAAAGTTTCCTAAACAAATTTTAAAAAGTTCTATGAACTGAAATACATCACAGAAATTTGCTAGAATTTTTATTACGGTGGATGATGTGGTGTTTTAAGATAAAAAAAATGGTCTAAATGGATAGAACTTCCCTCGTGGCTGAAGTACAGATGAATACATACAGATTATTGGAAAAAATAAAAAAAATATTTTGCGAATTTAATTTTTTTATGATAACCCCTGTAAGTTAAAATAATATAGGTGTGGACTCTTAAAGTACATGTCAGGTGAGTTTCACCATAACAAAATTTCGTGATGACGTCATGAACATTTTAGTAAGGACACGTATATCAATTTGAATAGGTAGTATAATACCACGAATAAAATAGTACTGTATATTCAAATTATTATCGATAAAATGTCACTCTGTATTAGAAATTCTAAAATATATGAATAGCATAGACTGATAACATTTTGGATAAATATACATTTAATTATTTACCATTGCAAATTTTGGAGAGGATGTCATCCCAGTGGTGGTCGGGATGATGAGACACATTTTGCTTAGCATTTTACCATCTGCACGATATTCCTAACGTACATATAAAATTTGAGAACATCGATCCAATAGTTCGGTAAAACACTAACCAAAATTTCTCTAATCACTCCCACCACTAATGCGATGACGTCATTTCAAAATTGTACATAGCAAATGGGTTTTAAATTGTATAAAATAACATAGTCCTAAACATGTAGTTTCTGACTCCGATTAGAGTTTTTATTCGAAACTATCAGATTTTTGGAAAAAAAATCAAAATTATAAAACAACACTTTGCAATTTAATTTTGAATCTGTTAAACCGAATGCTTTGAAATCTTGATCTTTTTAGTCAAAATATATTTGCTTATCACCCCCTAAAAATGAAAAAATTGAATTGACGTCACCCCAAAATTTTGCTGAATAAATCCTATCTAAAATGTACAAAATATGATGAGTCTGTACTTGTGATTTATCATTCCACTAGTATTTTTTGGATTTACGTATACAGGATGACTCAAAAAAAATATCATTGTATTTCAGGAGCGAGAAAAGTTCTGTCGAAACAACTTTCGACCAATTTTTTATTTTAATGATGTAGAGTTTGACAAAAAAAGTCAGAATTCTACATCACCATACAATTTAGCTAAAAGCTACAAAACCGACTGCTCTGAAATCTTGCAAATGTGTTAAATTTTAAAAACTGCATGACGTCATGTCAAAATTTTGCTAAATAATGTTAACTGAATAAATTTTGGGAATAGGTACCGCTGTTATTAGTATTTTTACTTCCCGAATATAAGCTAAGGAAGTATAGTAATCGAGTTCATCCGAAGAATGGTCACTTTTATATTTTCTCGACGTTTCAAGACCCCTACAGTACGAAAAAAGTAATCTCCCTTTTCCATCTGTCTGTTTGTCTGTCTGTCTGTCTGTATCCATTTCCACCAACAATTTGATGACGTCACCTCAATGAACCGTATTTTAAAATGAGTTGAATGTTATACAAAAATATTTTCTTGCACTGGTAATGCGCTGTGACAACTTTTCTTTGGTGCTGTGACTAGTATTATCCATGTTGATGGTGTCATCACAAATTTTTTATTGGTCAAATTAAAAACGAGTCAGTTACCCCATTTTCTCAAAAATGATAAAATAACAATTATAATGTTCATAATATTTTGTTCGATTGTGGTTGAATTAATAATTTTAGCCCTTTGTTTTGAGGAGACAAACTCATTCAAATGAAACTATTTTCTACGTAACATTCTTTCGAAGTATAGACATAAATAAACACTTGAGCTTCAGATTGCTATTAACTAGTGCTGAAGGACAAGATGTGCTATTTATGTCTCTGGTTACAGCCGTTCTCACAATACGAAATTCGTATAATCAGATTTTATAATTATTTTTAACGAGTTGGATTTTTAGAATTATACTTCGACAAGTTTTTTATTGATCAAATTAAAGCTTTGCTTATACAGGGCCACTCAAAAAAATTAATGGATCAGTCAATTTATTTTAATGAATAAATCAAGAATTGCAAAACTGAATACTCTGAAACCTTGCAGACGTTTTAAAGTTATTGTAAGCATGGTAAATTGTTAATGAAAATGAATCTGTTTATTCCCCCGAAAAAATTGACAATTTTGCAGAATAAATTCCCCCCCAAATGTGCAAAATATTGATGAGTTTTTACTTGTGATTTATGATTGCATTCATATTTTTTTAAATTTGCTTAAACAGGTGGCTCAAAAAAGTGAATGAATCAATTTATTTCATTGATTAAATCAGGAACGGCTCACCCCATTTTACCACAAAATTTTGGGAATACAATACTCTTATTTTTAGTATTAAACTGCGCCAATCCAAGTCGATATACCTGTTTTATTAAGTTATAAGAGTTATCACAAAAATAATTTTTATTTTTATTTTGAAGTGTAAACAAAATTAAATGGATCAAGATTCATAGTGCAAACTTGCAGCGAGCCAAACATATTGAATAAATAATGCTCGCGATGTGAGCAAGATGTTCTGTACGTTAAGTTTCATGGGAACTTCAAAGTTCGCAACTCATTGGTTTTATTCAGAAGTTAAATGACTTGTTATTATTTATAACTGTAGAAATTAGAGTACGTCAAGTTGAAAATCGATCGTTCAGTGTTTTGCTTTTTATATTTTTTCTCAGTCAGGTGTATTTGTGCTCCTTACACAATCTAAAAATAAATTAATAGGTAATCTTATCCGGTTTTTATTTTGATTAAACCTGTATTGGTCTTGTGCTTTTATTAATAGCAACATTCCTCTAATATCTGTAACCAAATAAATATTACATTTATTTTTTACTATTTCATTCTGGTTTCATTTAGTTGAATTTATTGGATCAAGAATGCAATAAAAGATATCCGTGCCCATGCACCAGTTTTGGGTACTATCGGATTTTAGCATAAAACAGTTCAATATAACGACAGAAATACTAATTGATCGTCGAATATAACAAAAGCTTCTTCAGACTAGCCAATTAAAAAGTAAAATTAAGTGTTAACAGATAAATGACAACGAATAACAAGTATAAATTACATGTTAATGTGCTTATAATTACTACAATTATACGTAGAGTCTAATTGTTTTTAATCTCCATTTCGTGTGCAATCTTTTACATTATTTACGCAATTTTAGTCATCGTATTGAATAATAACAGCTGGTTAATATTAAAATGTTACATAACGTATTGTGCTTTCGTGATTAAACATTATGTTTTAATTTACTACATTTTTCCAAAAAAAAAACACTTTAAAATTTAATTCATTATAAACATCCATTTGCAATATTAGAAATTAAAATTAGACCAGGTGACGAATAAGGTTTAATAACCTTCTTCGCAGAAAAGAGAATGTAAACTATTTTCCAATTATAATATACTATCAAGGGTAACGACCTTCAAAATTCTCGTTTGAATGGCAAAAAACTTCCGAACTTTCAAATGTAAAGATTTTTTTTTTTAATTTGAATCTTCGTACTGGTTTTATGAGTGGATTTCGCACGGCTTTATACTAATTTACTTTTTATTTTTCCCAGCACTAAATTATTATCGGTCTATTTTTAGCTGCGTTTTATATGCGTTAAATTACATAACGATTAACGTAATCATTATGTACGCAAAAATCTAAATGGGTTTAGTTTCGGTCTGC